CTTATATTGTTGAAGTTAAATTTTTTTTTCATAAATAAAAACTGATTTAATTGTTTAGCTCAAAACCTGAGGTAAGCTTCATTATGCTTATTATTATAGGTAAATTCATTATACTTGCATGAAACTGTTAAGTTGAAATTACAACCATTATAAATGCATTCAAGTTTTTTTATGTTTATTATCAAAATTTATAATTAATATTTAAAATTTATAATTAACATTTATAAAAAAATACAACTTATTTAATCCAAAATAAATTGTTACAAGAATTTATGAGACAAAAAAAAATGCTTATAAACTTTCACTTAAAAACAATGCTCCCAAAAAATTTTAATGATTAGGTTAACATTTATTAATTTAATTAGCCACATATTCTGTTCTAACACTTTTAATTAGTAATTTAAACATAGAATTAGAATCTGCACTCTCTTCTCTATAGAAAGTTTTTTCAAAAATTTTTTTTATTCCATTGATGCTCCAATGTTCCCAGATTTATAAATCTCATATTTTATCTCAGGAGTTAAGTTTTAAAAATTTTAAGAAAATCTTTAACAATGTCATTAACAATGGTGTGTCTAACATTGCATCTCTCATAGATGTGATCTTATTACCTCTCCCAAGAAGACAGCACTATCTGCAGAAAATCTTTCCTCTAACACATTTCTGGAATCTATTGACCTGGAATCTATTGATCTGGATTAATTGACACTTTTTTTTGTCATTTCAAAGAAACAGGTTAATCCACTGTTAAAATCAAAATCACTCCATCTTTTGGTGCTAAAGTAATATAAACTGCTCTAAAGCTTGCGATCAACCTTTTAACTCCAAAACACTTTACAAACTAATTGATTGCAGTGCTACTGGGGATGTGATAAAATTCAAACTTGGAACCTCTCACTTATGAAGGGAGCAATATACCACTAAATCACTTTTTGAATTGATATATATTGATGAATGGCAACACTCTTATTAAATGTTATGTTTCTTGGATTAAATTTAATTTGATTTACTAGCCTCTCATGAAATTCATATATAAATTCATAACCTACTACAAAGTTTGCACGAGCTTTGCCTCTCCTTATTGTGCTCAACATTATCTTACTTGACTCTCTACTGCTATAGAATACTATTGTCATATATGGGCTGGTTCTTCTAATGAGGCACACATCACATTTAAATGTTATATATAGCATTATATAAGCTCTAGCTTTTCAGATACTTGTCCACTACTCTCTACTACTAAATGTTATTAGACCTAGCTCTAGCTGAAGTTTATATTCGATTGCCATAAGGTTGCATTTTTTTCTCTATTCTAAAAAGCAATCATGATTGCTGCTCAAGCAAGTTTTGTCATTAAACAATGAAAGAAATGCTCGAAAATGTTACTTCATCCAACTATTAAAAAAAAAAATATATTTGCTCTCTGACAAAGAATAGTCATTATTATGATTGTTGTTAAAATAATACATTTTTAAAAATATGTATAAACATGCAAAGTTTTTTATTCTTTATTTTTCTATCTTTTATTTTTAATTTTAAAAAATTTTGTGCCAACCAAAGATAAAGATTGGCAAATTTTTCAAGTCGTTTAAACTGTTGTCTATACTATTTTAATTTATATAAACTGTATAAAATCAGAATTTTTAATCACTTTATTAATTCAATTGTATAAAAAGATATGCAAAAATCATATATATATATATATATATATATATATATAAATCATATATATATATATATATATATATATATATATATATATATATATATATATATATATATATATATATATATATATATATATATATATATATATATATATATATATATATATATATATATATATATATATATACACACATATACATATATACAGGCCTTGGCAGGAATAAATGAGTATGAGAGCGGAGAAAAGCTCTCCAAAAACGAACTTGGGGAGCTGTGGGAGCTACTCCTCATTTAAATCAGCGCTCTTTTTTAATTCTAATTTTTTTAAAAAGCATTTCGGTATATATATTACAATTAATTTTTTTAAAATGTCATTGTGTTTTTTATTTTATTTAAAATGATAATTATACTTTTATGAGAAAAATTATACTTTTGCGAGAGCCATAAATAGCTCTCGTAAACCGTTTCAGGGAAATGCGGGCAAGAAATAGAGCTAAAGCTCTTGCTTTCTGCCGAGGCCTGTATATATACATATATATAATACAGTGTTTCACAGGAAGACGTGCGATTGCACGCAATCATATGACCACACAAAAAATAATTTGTTTTGGGGATTTGACAATGGTTTTTGACATTTGACATTTGGTTTTTGACATTTCAAAATTTAAAAATGCGGTACAAAAAGTTATAATAATCTAAAAAAAAACTTTAAAAAAGAAAAAAATCTTTAAAGAAAGAGAATATATATATATACATATATATATATACATATATATATATATATATATATATATATATATATATATATATATATATATATATATATATATATATATATATATATATATATATATATATGTATATATATATATATATATATATATATATATATATATGTATATATATATATATATGTATATATATATATATATATATATATATATATATATATATATATATATATATATATATATATATATATATATATATATATATATATATATATATATAT